AATAATATAAAAATATTATTGATTAATATAAAATTTAAACTAGAAAAATTATAATTATTATATTAACATATAATTTAAGTATAAATACGTCTGAGATAGATTTATACATGAGCATTTTAAAACAGGAAAATTTATAATAAGTTGCAAATCAGGATGAAACATTGCCAAGTAGTCATCTTTATCCGCAAAAATGTCCTGAAGATGAAAATGCTATTCTGTAATCAGGATCACAAACAGTTACATTTTGCAATTACAATTTAAAAAATTATTAATATATATATAATTTTATTACGTATTCCAGATAGCTATTTACGTTTTGACAACGATATCGTAAACGTATATTGAATTCGTTATCAAGATATTTGAAACGTGTCTGGGTACAGAGTATTTCTTTAGAATCTACTATGTTCACAATTTCTCATTCCATAAACTTTCGCAGGGAGCTTCTAGTGATATCGTAATTATTCTGACATGTATGTCTTCACTATATCTCCAGTACGTCTCTACACACTGAGAGAAAAAAATGATTAAAAGTACGTAGAATCATACATCATTACTACCAAGATTTAGAAATTGGAAAGCAAAATTAAATTATTAATCATATGATAAACATATTATTAATAGTTTTAAACGAAATATTGGGAATATAAATTAGTTCGGTCCCCTAAAGATGGCTCCAGCTGTTGTGAATGGTTCATAGTGACAGCTGATTTTGGCGGTTTCAAAGAGGTTAAACTGCTAATAATATTCAGTTTATATCACTTTAAGTTTCATACCTTGATTTTTACTGTGTTTGAAATATCGAATTTTGTGTTAACCAAGCAGCATTTGCGGAGGATTTGATTTTCTGCTTTAATTGGAAGAAAAGTGCGGCTGAAGCCATCGAATGCTTGTCGAAGTTTATGGTGACACTGCTCCAATTGATAAATCATGTAGGGAATGATTTTGACGTTTCAAAGATGGAAATTTCAGCGTTGAAGACAAGCCTCACTCTGGACAGCCAAAAAAATTCGAAGACAAAAAATTAGAGGCATTACTCGAAGAAAATCAGAGTCAAAGGAGCTTGCAGAATCATTGGGAGTAACTCAACAAGGCGTTTCTGTACGATTGAGAACTATGGGAATGATTCAAAAACAAGGAAATTAGACGTCTTATGAACTGAAACCGAGAGACGTTGAAAGGCGATTTTTCATTTGCGAACAGCTGATTCAAAGACAACAGAGAAAAGGTTTTTTTGCATCGGATTGTGACTGAAGATGAGAAGTGGATATTCTACGATGCCAAGAAGAAAAAATACTATGCTAAGCCCGTCAATCGTTGTCATCGACCTCAACATCAACACCACGGCCGAACATTTATGGTTCGAAGATCATGCTCTGTATTTAGTAGGACCAAAAGAGTCTTGTTTATTATGAGCTGCTGAAACCTGGCGATTCCATTATGAGCGATCAGTATCGGCTACAATTGGTTCGTTTGAGCCGTGCATTGTGAGAAAAACGGCTAAAATACGAGCAAAGATATGATAAAGTTATTCTTCTTCATGACAACGCTCGGCCTCATGTCGCTAAAGTCGCTAAAAAAATATTTGGAAACACTAAAATGGGATGTTTTACAAATGGGATGTTATGGCACCCGCTGTATTCTCCAGACGTTGCTTCTTCTGATTGGTTGTTCCGAAGGATGCAACAAGTCATCGGTTCACTTCTTTCGCAGAATTCGAAAATTGCCTAAGAGATGGGAAAAAGTAGTAGGCAGCGATGAACAATACTTTAATTGATCTGTTCATTTATTTTGTTTTGAAATAAATGCATTTTTGAACACAAAAAAACGGACCGAACTAATTTGTACTTTCAATAATTGATAATTGTGATCAAACAATCCCTTTTATGTAACAAAAAGATTACAGAGTTATATTTTAACGAAAAAAATCACTTTTTTATTATTTACTTTTGATTTTTCCAATTCTATTTATTATTTTCTATTTTGCATACCTATATTCTATCTTATTAACTACACTTAAATTATTGAAAAACGCATCGCATTGAGGAGATTTGAACGATTTCTAAAATAGTAGTCTAATACATTTACGCTGAGCTACGCTTGCACGCTTGTGATCGAGTTACTGCCAACGTTACTTATATTTTCTATTGTAATCATTTTCATGCCTCTGCTGACCATTTAATATTATTAATATTTGAGGAGATTACATGGAAGCAAAATAATACGCTGGTATTTATTAACTTAATTAGAAAATTATCCTTAGTCTCGAAAGATCTGACGAGCATGTTTCGTCTCGCTGCGATCTGAGTGTTGCATGTTTTATTTTTTGAGCATAAGTGTGACGAGCAAAGATATGATATGAGCTTTGACTATCATATAATTCTTATTCTTACAGTTTTTTTTTTAAGGAAAATGTTAAATTATTATATATGTAAATGTAGTCAAATATATTATTACTATAGTATTGCCAAACATTTAGTGCAAATAATTACTTTTACAATTATTTTCTTTTTAGTTTTTATAATATAAATAGTAAATTTGTAGTTTTAGAAGTTCAGTGTAAAATAGTGTGTGTGCTATTAATATAATCACACACTATTTGAAAATGAATGGTTTTTCCATTTTTGAAGTTATATTTTTTAGTTATTGTTACCACATGTATATAGTAAGCGAATGTTGAAAAAAATGGTTATATTCATTATTATTATGATTGCAATTATCATATAAAAATGATTATTTTACTTATCATACGTATTTTCATATTTTGCTATATTAATATTTTAAATTATCATAATTTATAGTACAATTTTTGTCCGGTTTGATAGAACTATAATATATATACTATATGTAAGGTTATTGTTACTAACATTATAGCACTAATAACAATAAAACTGATGCTTCTAACCATAATTATTTTATCATGCAATTATAGTCATAAATACGATATACTTTTCTCTCAGTGCAATATCTGCATTATCATAGTGATGTCTCTAATCTATGTCATGTATGCATGTATATATGCAGTATATACTCACATACATATATGTATGGGGCATTCCATTCCAAGTGTGCCTTTTCCTGTGAACTTTTGGATTTTTAATTTGGCTGAAATTTTAATATATTATAGTACTCGTCGCAAGAAGTTGCCATGATTTTTTCCAAATTTTTTTATCAACACAGTCATGAGATATGAATTTTGAAAAAAATAATTTTTATAATAATAAACTATTACTATAAAAATTACTATAGAAAATGAATATTGAATCTTAATATGATATCATATGCTGTCTGGGATTATAATTTCATTACATGTTATCTTATTTTAATAAATTTATAAAATAAATTCATCTAATTGGTTTACTCTTTTAAACTTATGCTGATCTTGCGATATCCAAATGATTTTTTTTCGCGGCACATAAGATACGTTTCTTGACTTCACCAAATGGATACCGGCTTAAGTCTTGCTTAAAATCAAAGTAATGTTGGTGCAATTAGGCCTTAGACAGCTGTCATAAAATCGCTCGTCACTTGCATCGATAAATGGCGAATCGCATTCTGAAAATTTTTATTCCAAAAATCATTGAAAAAAAAAGTATTGCTATCTTTCTGCCCATGATTGTACAATCAGTTACTAAGACGGATATTTATAGTCAGATCTTATATTCAAGATCTTAAGTATGATCTTAAGAAGTCACAAACCAATCAGAAGGCTGCTAGTGTCTTAAGACATTACTTAAGATAGTTTTAAAATAAGAATCGACTATGAATACCGGCTTAAAAGGCTTGCAACTTTTTAATTCGATGGTTTTCAGAACGCGCAAAAATTCTGACAGAGCTCACCACCATCTCTGAACGCCTATAGTCAGCACTTATGATGGGTTATGATAACATCAAAGTGATGCGCAGAATCGCTCACAGTGAAATGAAAAAAATGTATTTATGCGCAGCGGAAAATTCTTAAGATACTCTTCGGATAGCATAAAATATATCGTAATAATGAAGTAAATGCTAAATTCGTTTTAATAATATTAAATTATAAATTTATTTGTATTTTATTTATAAATAATATGTTATTTATAAAAATAACATGTTTATTATTATTAAATATTCAAAAATTAAAAGTATAAGTAAATATTATAACATAATATTTATTTAACTCAATAATAGTATTTAACTCAATAATAATAACTGAACAAAATCCTGACTCTTGAACTGAAATGTAAGTTTAATAATTGCTGCGTTATTCGTCTTGGACGCTCTAATATCAGCCAAAGATTTATATGGTTCGAATTGTCGGACTAATCTGTATATTATGCTCTTTTGCAATATATCAAATATATTTTTTAAAATTTATGTTAGATACAATATCACACAAACACATTAAAGGATATCTTAACATTACATAATTTTGAAATGTCTGTATATGTTAATCCAGTATTTGCATACGCCAATATTTCACCTCTAATATGCTGTGGAATAGGGTCAGGCATTTTTATGTTATTTATTTTTTATAATTAATTGATGATAAATGACTTATTTGATGACAAATTTGATTAACAAATTAGATGACAATAAATATTCAAAACAATTGAAACAAAAATAATTGAATTTAATTCAATTATTAGTGCTGAGAAAGATCAACAATTATTAAACTTAGTGCAAGAGCTCGGATTCTACTTAGCAGTAGCGCAAGTCGATTTAAATTATTGCACAGCAACTATGCGGCGTAGGTGATGGAAACAAGGATATCACCATCATATGCCTGCTCATGTGAGAAATTAACAGAACGCCACAAAGGGTAAGGCCTTTGCCTTAGACTTACATTTAGTAAGAGCAAGAGTAGATGGAATACTATCTTTTCGGATGAAAAGATACTTTCGACGGATGAATCTGGGCGTGTGACACTGGTGAATGAAAGGAACTAGATATTCGGAAAAGAATATTTGTTTCCGTGAACAAAATGATCGCATCACATTGGCATTTTGGGGCTGTATATCCTCACATGGTCTTGAGCCATTGATTCGTATCACACTACACATGAACGGCGAGAAATACGTTCACATTTTATCTCATATGATGATGCCATATGTTCGGGAGACGTTTTCTGGTATACCTCGTATTCCTTTTGTTCAGAATAATTCAGTATCGGGCGAGAGTGGTTCAGGATTGGTTGACAACCTTGAGACATTGAATTGGCCAGCCAAATCTCCAGATATGAATGTGATTGAAAATCTTTGGGGTATTATTGTTCAGGAATGGAACCTTCAATTTTGACATAACTGCGAGACATTGGCAAAACACATCATCAATATATGGAAGGATTTTCGATAAGGTCCGCGTTATTCCAAAATTTAGCTGCATCAGTGCCTCAAAGATTAAATGGAATAATAGAGAATCATGGAAGTGTCACACGATACTAATATTATTCCGAACAATATAGAATATTTCAGCAACATTTGTATTACTTATTGTTTATTTGTCAATAATTAATAGTTAATATGTTAATAGTATTTATTGTTTATTTTTTATTATTTAGAACATTTATTGTTTATTCATTTGCGACAGTAAAGAACAAGATCCATTGCTCTTATTACTCATCGACGTTGCAGGTAGAAATATATAACTTAATTAAAATATTACTATAAATTAAAAATACATAATTAAAATATAAAGTATCAGCAAATACAATATTAAGAAATAAATGATTATATTAATACGTAATTTAGATAGAACTCAATCGATTCTCCTGTTCTCTTAGAAATACAAGAAAATTGCTTCTGATAACTCATGACATCGGCGACACATGCATAGGTAAAAGATTGCGTAAAATTTTTCCATTTGCCTTGATATGATAGGCTAAAATTGATCCCGACGAAGTGATCGGTCTCGGAAAAGTGATCGATCGTTGAATTTGTTGTGAAAGCGAATTTGTGTATTATTATTGTGTGTAAAATTTGTGTATTATTATTGAGTTAAATAATAATATTATGTTATTTTATTTTTTTTAATTTTTGAATTTTTAATAATAATAAACATGTTATTTTTGAAAATATAAATAAATTTATAAAACAAATTTAGCGTTTACTTTATTATTATTTATCACGATATATTTTATTCGAAGGGTATGTTAAAAATCTTCCGCTATGCACAAATACATTTTTTTCAATTCACTGTGTACAAAACAATTCTGCATCACTTTGACGATTACCATAACTCATTATAACCGTTGACTATAGGCATTCCGAGATGATCCCTCTATCAAAATTTTCTGAAAATCTCAAATTAAAAAAATGTTGCAACCTTTTAGTAACTGACATACATACATACAATGTATACTCTTTACACAGCCATTTACATTGTTTCGAGCGAGTTTCCTGTGTGTCAGAGATGAGTTGTTCGTTTACTGGTCATTTTATTTGGCGAGTCATTCAAATTGAGAAAAAGTAGAGGTGAGTAGCGAATGGATTGCAGTGGAATTATATATTCTTTCAATGAAATAAGAACGTGAATTTCTTGTGTAGTCATTATAACTTAATCTATTTGTTTGTAAACACAGAGCTATAATGCCTGGCTGTGTAGATTAGTGCACAAATTCTGCGAAAAAGAATTTTAAGTATCATTTTCCTCGAGATCCAAAAAGACGAAAAATTTGAGCTGAAACACTGGACTCCGTCTATTAATAATTCAGTGTTATGTGAGGTTAGTAAGAATTTGCTTTTGTAATTTTTTAATATAAATAAGTTATTAAATAATGTATGTTATATATTATTTCAGGTACATTTTAATGCAGAAATGTGGACTGAATCGAAGATTGGAAACAGCAAGCCTACTGAAAAAAGAAGCTATTCGAATTATGTTTAGTAAACTCGTAGTTCAAAATACACAGGAAGGTATATATAGGATATATTGATTTTATGGAAAAATTAGGAATGTCATGATTTCCTTAAGCAACCGTATTTACTCAGTATCTTTTCCATAGGTTGTCTACATTAGACTCTCTCGTCGGCGCCTATTCCTGCAGAATGCCTCGCAGGACACTCGCGATTCGTGAATTGTGTGTATTAATGTACGGGGTTTTCCTATTGGCTGCGCTACATAGCCGTGTGGGAATCAGGACCCGCGTAGAGTATAGGCTCTAAATAAACTAAAAATCCTATAACTCGTCTATCCTGACGCGCTGATCGTCTTGGTCACGTATGCTTTTAAGGTTTATGAAATTAACAGAAATTATATTAGTGATATATTTCACATTATAATATAGAACACAGCTTAGAACTAATCTTATCTTACTAAATCACTGATCTTAATTCTAATTGATTTGATCGCGTATCCATGTTTTCATCCGGTCTGCGGATATCATACCATACGTTATACGGCATTTGTGTAATCTGGAATCCAAGAAATATCGGTTATAACGTATCGGTCTGCACTTAATATTTTACTTACAATATAGAGACCTTTATATTTCGAGATTAGCTTTTTATTCGCATCAACGATGGTGTCTACGTTGATTATGTCCACATAATCGCCAATTTAGTATGTCGTCGTGATTTTCCGAGATTTATTGTACATTTTCTCGTTTGCTATTTGATTCTCTACCATTTTACATGACGCTGCTTCTCGCAGTTCGACCAGATTTCGATCTTTTGCCTGACTATCTAAGCTTAAACGTAAAAGATCGTCTATCTTTCCTAATTGATCTAATCCGAATAACATTTGCTTGGAATATTCCTAGTAGATCTGTAAACAGTATTATTAATTGCAAATTCGGCTTGACTAATTATTTGGTCCTATTTATTGGGAGAATCACTTAATTTTGCTAGGCTTAAGACTCGATTTAGTCTCTCAACTTGTCCATTAGCATGCGGAGTACCGTGGCTATCAGAATATGATCAATTCTTTCTTTAAGAAATTCTTGAATTCACTCGATGTGAATGCGCTACCTCGATCGCTTACAATTTGTCGTGGCTTACTGTAATTTCGGAAATATTCCTTTAAATATTTTATAGCTTCATTAGAATTCGTAGTTTTACAGGGATATAAACGCAGACATTTGATGAATGCGTCTACAACAGATAAGACAAACTTATAACCTCAACTCGTTTTTTCCAAAGGTCCGTAATGATCTATGTGACAGGTTTGAAATGGTAGCTTCCGCTTCGGAATACTGTGTAAATACCCTTCTGGTCATCCACTCAATAGGGAATATTCAATGCATTTAAGACAATTCTTTATGTAACTTTTCATTTTCACTTGAGAAACCAAAGATCTTTGTAATCAAAAATCTTTGTATTCACGATTACTTTGCTCGCTCCTGCATGTCCAATGTTGTCACGTACGCATGATGTTGTTTCTATTACCTCTGGCATAAAATAACAACTTGTTTGATTTTTTGATATACGAGGCCATCTCTAAGCTCATACAGTTTATCTTTTTCGCTCTTTTTCAAAATTCCTTCCTTTTCGATCGCGGATTTTACAGATCTCTGTATCTTGAGTTTGTTTTATATTATAGATAACACTTGTTCAAAAGTATTTTCTTCTAATACTATCATAAGATACTGTTACATCGGCTCAGTTACATCGACGCGTCTACATACTTACCCGGTCGATGTATTACTTCGTAATCATACTGTTGTAGGAACATTACCCAACGCGCGATTCTCGGATAATATTAATATTTTGTCTGCTAAAGGTAAGGCGAAAGCTGTCGCAATCTGTGACAATTTTGAAATGAATGCCCGAGAAATAAACGTGGAAATGGAATCTCTTAATCGCATATATAGCAGCTAGACATTCCAGCTCGAAGCTGGAATATTTAGATTCCGCCGGGTTCGATGGCTGATATTGGTCGGATCTTCTCCATTCTGCTATCGTAACAGGATAGCGCCAAATCCATTCGCACTCGCATCATAATGCAATTCTGTTTTCGCGATAGGACAATAGATTAATAATATCGAATGATTAGATAGGCGCGCTTCGAAGGCTTTATCTTCTTTCGTCGAACTTGAACACGATATCTTTTTTAATCAATTCGTACAGCGGTTTCGCTAATAATCGAGAACCTTGGAATAAATTTTCGAAAGTAACTCACAAGTCCAATGAAGCGCTGTACGAATTTTTCATGTTACACATCGAGTAATTGATTCGACATTTTCCGCGCTTAGTTGAATATTATTTTCATCAATTAAGTATCGTGCAGTGTATTCGTGCAGTGATTAAACATCTATATATCTGAAAGATTTAACGCCGAAAGAAATCAAAGCTGAGTTGAATAATGTTCATAGCATATCTGCATCAGCGTTTGCGATTGTATGCAATTGGGTAAATGAATTTAAATGTGGTCGTACATCCACATGTGATGCACCTCATTCGGGTCCAATTGAGGCTGTTGCGCCAGAAATCATCGATAAAGTCTACGATATTATTTTGACTGATCGACGAATGAAAGTACGCGAGCTTGTTAAGACCATAGGTATATCACATGGTACAGTGATTTCAATTTTGCAAGAACAATTGAATATGAAAAAGCTATCGGTAAGATGGATGCGTTTGCTCACTGTGGACCATAAGCGAGACTGATGATTCCAGAACAAATGTTTGGAGATGTTTCAACGTAATCCAAATGAATTTCTGCGTTTCGCTTTTCGATTCATTACTGAGGAAATATGGATTCATTACTTCATATCCGAGACAAAGGAACAGTCAAAATAATGGATTTCATCGAGTGAACCAGCTCCGAAGAAGGCGAAAATCGTAAAATTGAAAGGTAAGCGGAAAGGTAATGGCCACAGTTTTTTGGGATGTACGCGGTATAATTCATCGATTATTTTCCGTCGAAGCAAACGATCAATGGCGATTACTACAGCCTTATTAAACCGTTTTAACAACATTTTAAAGAAAAAACGTCCCCATTTGACGAAGAAGAAAGTGCTCTTTCATCAAGACAATGCACGGGTTCACATGTGCCTGGCACCGATTCCAAATTCAACGAATTCTTCTTCATCCAGCATTCGCCAGATTTAGCCCCCTGCGACTATTTCCTGTTTCCAAATCTGAAGAAATGGTTCGGAGAAAAGAGATTCACCACCAGAGAGCAGCGCCGAAACAGACTTATTTTGACGGCTTGGACAAATCATATTATTCGGACGGCTTGAAAAAGTTGGAGAATCGTTGGATCAAGTGTATCGAGCTGAAAGGAGATTATGTTGAGAAATAAAAACGATCAAAAAAAATGTGTTTTACTATGTTTTTCTAAAAACTTATTGACTTGCCCTCGTAAAACAACACGGTTGCGTTCTACTAAACGCACCCATTGTTATATGTACAATTTCAGTTTTGTATTTCAGGATTACGTTTCAAAACTTCTTTTCCGAAGAAAATTTTACGAAATATATACTACACCTATACTATAGCATGTAGAGTAGAATCTTCGGAGAGGAAGTTTTCAAACGTAGCCTAGGTTGTGTTCCAAAATTTACTAGAGTCTCTAGAAACCAAAGTCTGGCTATGCCCTAAAAATGGCGTGCGTGTCCGAAATATGTTTTTGCTCTCAATCGGTGATATGAATGTATGTGCATTCTCGATTGGTACTGTTATATTGTGTGGGCACGTTAATCACAAGAAAGAATGGAGGGATGGCCAGAGGGCCATCGTTTATGCCATTCATTATGGATTTTGAAAGGAGGTGAAAATTACAAAAGTGAGCAAAGATTACTAGATATTGACCAATTAAATTACGAATACTCTAGTGAATTTGATCACTTTTGTAATTTTCACCTCATTTGAAGATACACAATCGACCCCCCGATTTTGGTATTCTAAGGATATTAAAATTTACTACCAGAGCTCCTATTCTTGAAAAGTATCGCCTACGAAAAATTATGGAAATGCTATGATGTTACAAATATTATATATATATATACATCCCTAATTTTTCGTATGCAATATGTTTTGAGAATAGAGCCCCAATACTAAAAATCTATAGTTTACGTTACGTACATTATACATTTTCAGCTGGCAGTAAATTTTTGAACATAGTCTCAGTTTTACACTTCACATTTGAAAATGCACGCGTGTTTCGATGCATTTCTGATTTTGTCTCATTCTCGCTCTGTTGCAAACGCGCATTTTCAAATGTAAAGTATAAAACTGAATTTATATGTACATATACTAACAGGTGCGTTCAATAAAATTTTATGAACGTCTGCTGAAATATAAGACCATTCCTCTAGATCTTAAAATATAATTTAATTAGCGCGAAGAAAACTTTCAACAATTGCAAAATTCTGCTGAATACAGAGAGAGAAAGAGGAGGGGAGGGGAGGAAGAAAGGGAGGGGGAGGAAAGAGAGAGAGAGAGAGAGAGAGAGCCAATGATTTTATAATGAATAAATTAAAGAATAACACAGGTAAATACGCAAATAGAATGAAGTGAAATTTGTTTAAAAATAAATAATATGATAATCAATAAGCTTAAAAATAAGATTTCAAGAGTATTAACTACTTTTTTAGAGTATCTTTAATTTTTTGTTAGGTTTTTTGTTATATAAGTACTGTATTATAGTGTACATACAATTTGTCAATTTAAATCTAAAACATCAGTGACGACAGAATTGCATAATAATGCAAAAATAATAAATCAATATACAATTACGTTTTCTCTCTATCTTCATTTTTGTTTTTCCTCTTTTTCGTTTTCATGTCATTGTTTCGAAGAAAACAATCTGGATAAAATTAAACAAAGAAATTATATACATAAGTAAATACATGCACACATGCACGCACGCACAATCAATGAAGAATCATAAAAATCAATCAATGAATTATAAAAAGAGAAATTAATAAAATAATTTATCTTGAATGCATAAATTAATTACCAAGGTATTATATTTCACAGTAAAAATCAAAATAGAAATTACAGTCATATGACAAATAAAAACAAATGACACATGCATACATGTCAAATAAAATGTAAATATTAACACAAATATTAACGCAAATTAACATAATTAATAGTTAATTCAATAAATATTAAAATCAAATAACAAAAAGTACAGGACTTTTAGATTTGTAAAAAACAATACAGAGGTGTGAAGAGCACATAAGAGTCAACATAATTAAGTATATATGTATATATATATATATATATAGTTCTATATAATATATTAAATGTACAAAAATTCTATAAAATACGCATTACATGTTTCGGCTTTTTCAATGAGTCATCTTCAGATACTCGTGCTTACAAATGTGCAGTCAACAGAATTTTTCACAAAAATGTCATTTTGTCAGTGTAATATCCGATAAGAGAAGAAATACCATATAAAGAAAATCCACGCTTTTTTTATGTTCCATTACTAGACATAGTCAA